TGTATGTGTTTGGACTGTGGGAGAAAGCCGGAGTACCCGGAGGAAACCTACGCAGACACGGGGAGAACATTCAAACTCCACACAGAAGGGCTCCCATCGAACCAGGAACCCTCTTGCTGTGAGGCGACAGAGCTAACCACCACACCACCGTGCCGCCCTAATGAAACTAAACTGTGCATAATCCAAAGGCTATTGGTGAATCTAAAGGTATCCTCAGTGTGCAGAAACAGGAATTACCACATGAAATGCATTTATAAACAATGGCACTGCTGACACACTATTCTACATATCAGACTTTACAGTGGCATCTCGTGTATCTGCAGGGATTAACAGCTATGTGAAGGAGAAAGTGAAGGTAATATCAGATCCCACATTGCAAGCAACATATTTCATCACTTTGGGAATCTCTATCTGACAATCCATTATATGTTTGAAAAAAATTCAGTGCGCTCGTCCAAACACCATTATCTCTGCAAGTGTGCCTGCAACCCTTGAGTATAGAGTACCTGCCATGTGCTCGTCCTTGTGCTTTCATGAGAAGAGTTCTACAGTACTAGAAAAAATTCTAGTATTGTCCTTTACTTGAATTTGTACAATGGAGACTAGTAAATTAAAAAATACTTGAGTATATTTATTGTACATATTCATGCACCTTGGGGATGGTGCTTCAAAGAGACATTATGGCGTATGCCTCAGACAAACATGAATAGCTCTGGTGATTAGCCTTTTTCTTTATTTTTAGGCCGCACTGTGACTGATGAAAAAGTTCCCTGTTCCCACATGTTGACTGGGGGGAATGAGGCCAGGGTTTCCATGGTGATGCTTGTAACCTAGTCTGTCTCTGAGGGTCTGAGGATTGTTCTCCATTGTCCTCCGGAGAGGAGATGGAGAAAGAGGGCGGAATTGAGAGAAGGAGAGTCGACCACTGCTCGGCTTGTGATATAAGAACAAGAGATGATAAACACATGTGAAATACAGAGCATAGTTATATAAATAACACACTATGTGACATGTTCCCAGAAAAAATGAAATTTATGCCATTTGATTCAGTGAAAATATGGTTTAATGGAGCTGTAAAATTGTATGATTGCTAGAGATTTTAAGAATCCCAGCCCAAATCATATGCAGTCCATTCAAGAGTCACTTTTGGGTAATTATTCTTTTTCACCCCACCACCCAACTCTGAGTGAAACTGATGCTCACCAGCACAAAATGGAAATTGCAGTTAACTTCAAATAGCCCCTGCTGCACTACATGGTCCCCAGGTGCTGATGAATCCCTTTTCCAATCTCTGTAGCTCACACAGTCTCTCTAAACTGTCCATTATAAGTGATATGATGCTCTGAGACAGAGGCACCTCCTTCTGTTTTGTTTACACATCACTGTGCTATTTCTTACCTTAATTATACTTTTATCTTTCTTATAGCATAAGGCCACATCAAGATGGATGTGTGATATTATTTTCACTTACTACTTGAGCAGATGGCTGAGGTGTGAGCATGTGGAAATACTGCTCCCAAACAAACAGCAGTTTGTAGCTGATCTGCTTCCCTCTGTTGTGTTAGTCTGGGTGTCCTCAGCAGACACAGTGGCACTAATTGGAAATCTTGTCTTGTGGTTTCACTTGATTACAAAAGGTAGAGATATTACTGTTCCATATTGCAGTGATTTAAAGGATAATGAGCTTTTATGTTGTGTTTTCATCAACTTAGTAGTAGAGACAAGCATTAAAGTAAAGACAAGGCCAAGTCTGGAAATGGGCTGAGGTGGAGTTTGAAAACAAACTGTCCCACATGCTTTTTTTTTCTTTGTGCATTTGCTTCATTATATATTCTGGTAAAGAGCCATCCTTGGAGAAGTTTTCAAAGATGCCAAAAAAGCAGCTCATTGTTCAAAGAGAATGCAGCAGTGATTGGATTTAGTCTGAACAATAGCAAAGCTTCATCAAAGTTGGATTGTCATTATTTCCGAAGACATGATGCGAGACCACAGCAGAAAGTCTCATTTCCCCTGAGAAGGTGGGGAGACCAGACCTTGGTATCTTAGTGTCTGACTCAGTATGCTGCTTAATGTTTGAGTCCCACACAAGAATTTGAGCTTGAATATTATGTTACCTAATTGGTATGTGTGTGCCATTTAAAGGTTCTGTATGTGACATTTATTGGGGCAATCCACTATTTGCTAGGTAAGAAAAATAGTGGATCCAGGGCTCATATACTCCCTTTCTGTATGAAAATAAAGATTGTTTCAAATGCTGTAAATATCTCTGCCCTCATACTTCCTAGCGTCCTTTATGATAGCATAGATACAGCCAGTAGATGGCACTAGAGGGCAGAGTCCAACGTTTCACACAAAAACAAACAAGGTAACGGTGGAGGAGATGGTAATAACTTACCTTTAAACAGAGGCAGCATTGTAGACGGCGGCGATCTGTGAGGCCATTAAATACACCGACATGTTGACAGAGAGCTATATTACAGATTAATTTCGTCTTTGTCGTCATCTATGGTCATAACTCGCTTAAACTAAACTACGCTGCCCCCACGATCCCCTGTGGTACTGTTCCATTTTGTATATCCTTATGCTTTGAGAAAATGTGCACAAATATGGACAAAATGAAGGCAGAGTACGGACAAAAGGCTCCACCTGTGTCTGCATTATTATCTAATAATAATAATTATCTTTGTAGTGGTAAGCTGATCCAGCTGTGTGTGCATGTTAGTGAATAAGTGTATCCCACAAGCTAGCTCAACACCTTTGCTTTGCACTGTGCTCATGTGGCTGTTAACGCCGATACTGGGACTGTGTCAGGGTGGCCAGGTCAGTGTAGCGGCCACCCTCCAGTTTCCAACTGGTTAACAGCATTGTTGCCATTGTTTAGTTCTGTCTGTGGAGTTAGCACCGTTAGCTGCTAGCTGCCAATTCAGAGACAACTCATACACTTTGAATTACACGTAGAGACCCCTTTATGATTTCTCAAAAGTTTGAAACCTTAATTACAAAGTGTTCATCATTTGCATCCCAAAATAGTAGTCCAGGTAATCTGTTTTCAGGCACCATTTCCAGGACTCACTTTGCTTTACTTTCCCTTTAAAGTTTGCATCATTGCCCTGTAGTATTGTTTGTAAAGTCTTGCTGAGTCTTGCTGTTCAATGCATCACTGCTATTAGTTTACTGTATGCTTGTTTGTCTGGTAGTGTGCATGCTCGCTGGCTCAATGGCATGTTTTAGTGTGAAACTTGATGGAACAGAGACATTGTTAACAAAATTTGCATCACCTGTTCTTTTCCTGCTGTGTCAAGTGAAAATGGCTGCTTTGAACTGATCGTACACAGGTGTTTTCACTTATGTCACCCAATTAGCCCTGTTGTCAACACTGTGTGGGTGTTTACAGACTGTGCTTGATTTATCTCTGCTTTGCTCCCCTGTAGTTTTGTTGCAATCCAGTTCCACCCAATTTCCACCTGACTAGAGTTGTAATTAGCGGGGTAATTGAAAACACCTGTGTGGGCGTGCAGGGCCTTTAAACAATTCTGCAGTGTGCAATTTACAGTCTCTGCCAGCGTGAAGTGTGAAAGTAGTTGGAAAAGTAGCTGTGGTAGGCTTTTTTTTTTTTTTTTTTTTTTTTACTGTAACTTAAAGGGACAGTTAACCCCAAAATCAAAAAAAATGTTTTTTTTTTATTTGGGGATTAACTGTCTCTTTAATTTTCACCTCAGACAATCACCGGTTAGTATTCTGTCTGGCGATAATGTTGGGCAAACAGCTCATCACTCTGCAGAGAGGATGCCTGTAAACCTGCCTGAATCCTGTCCCTACAAACCTAACTATAGTTGCTGTGCAGATTTTTAGACCTTGCTGGTGCACTGTTGCTCCGTTGTTCCTTCAGCTAAAAAAGCACATCTTAAACTGTGCTGTGGTGTTACATAATAAGTACAGGATGTCTGTCTGGGCTATCAGACAACAGACTAGCACCATAATACTCAACTCTGCAGCAGAAAAACATGTAGCAGCCGACCTCAGCTGAACTGCTCGTGTGCGTGTCTGCCTGTGTGTTAAATCAGTCATCACCACTTAGTGTTTACTGACGGCTTCAATATCAGCCATATAAGATAAAGATTCAGCAGTCTGATGCTCTGTTTCCTTGAGTCAGAGTTGTCCATCTTTTATTCATCGCCTTCATTCTTTTATTCTTATGTTTATCTTTGAAGTCTCTCTGCCCTCCTGCTGAGTCCAACACAGCATGCAGGGTATCACAGTCATTTAGTTTATTCAGCAGACATCAGCGTGGCACAGAGGATGGTTGACATCTCAAATGTTTCTATGACTCCAATCTGTGTTAACTGTTTACCATTTAAACTTTCCCTCTCTCCCAGACAGATGACATCCCTCCCTGCTCTAACGTTTTATGACTCATATTTTTCCCATTTAATTCAATTCAGTCTTTTATTGAAAAGGTTAATTTTAGCGAGTAAAAATGTTGATTCACTCCTTTCTCAAGACTCAAACCTCATTACTACGCATTCCATTCTTTTGTACAGTATATCATCTTTAAATACTGCAGGCAAAGGGCAATGTCCGAGAGGTTAAGGTATTATTTTATCTCCCATCCTGTTCATATCTACAATCAAGTCTAGTGAAAGCTACAATACATGATTAGTTGTTGGCTCCTGTCAAAGAGAGTTTTGCATTATCTCTTCCTGTGCAACAAAATGATCTTTTGTCAGTTATATATCTGATGCCTGGAACTAATTTGGGCAGTAAATCCAGATGGGATACACTTCTCTCACGCTGCCTCAATTTGTAATTCAGACTGATGTCAGAGCTCTGTATGCAGGAAATGAATGTTCACAGTATCTTATTAAATATCATATATATTTGCCTGAATTTATATGTCTGCCTGCAGAGTATTTTATTTAAAGTTGAAGTAAATATATAGCATGTCCATTAAAGTGACTATTTGTCTCCTCTCTGTTCTCCTTCACTCTCTTTGTCTGCAGGGACCCAGTTCAGTTGAGGACCCTTCCAGTCCCAGTTCAGCCAGCAAACAGCAGCCTCGAGATCGACACAGTTTTGTCCAGGAACACTTCCAGGCTCAGTACAGGTAAGAAGCATAGATGTGAGCAGCATGCTCAGATATTTAAAAGACTTGAGCACAGCGTTAGTTCAGGCAGGACATGGCTCCCAGCTACATCAGCTGATCTCAAGCAGCCCGGTCTACTGATGGAGCAGCTGACTGATGGAAGGGAGTCAGCTGATAGATCACATGATTCCTTTCTATGCACCAATCGGCAAATCGCATTCATTCAGCGCGCCCTATTTTAACGGCTTTTTCCTGTCCTACTGTTGCTTCTTCCTCTGCAAGCCGCTTTGCAACACGCCTCCACCCCTGCTCCTCCTTTTTATGTTGTGTCTGACTTATCAATGTCGTTTGTTTGTCATTGACGCTGGCTCTTTTCTGTTCCTGGGGGTCTTTGCTGCTGCTTTCCCTGCCTGAGGCTTTCCATGTAGGTGCATGGAAGGGCAGGGAGGTGTGTTCTCTCTGCCTTAAGGCTTTCCACAAAGGCACGAAAAAGGACGGAAAGGTGGGGTGTCTCCGCCATAGGCTTTTCATGTTGCCACATGGAAGGGCAGGGAAGTTTGCTATCTCTGTTTCAGGCTTTCTTTAGTTGCATGTGGAAGTGCAGAGGGGTGTGCTCCCTCTACCTTAAGGCTTTCCATGGAGGCTCGTGGAAAGACGGAGAGGTGTGCTTTTTCTGCCTCAGGCTTTTTGTGTAGGCCTAGGAAAGGCAGAGAGGCCCCAGAACAGAGCCATACCACCAAATATAATTCTGCAAATGGAAATGAAGTTTTCTTTAAAGGAGCAATAAGCGAAATCGTTTCACCGCTAGGTTCGCTGTTGTACACTGCCTGTAGAGCAAAACAAAGTGTGTCATGAGCCACTCCTCCCTCTACCTCTGCTCTCCAACACCCCTGACATGGCTTCAGGCCTGGTAGCATTTTAAAGATAACAATATCAGTACTAATACCAGTACTCTTAAAGTGATACTGATACCAGTAGAGTACTTCATTTGATACCCATAATGTGAATGGAGTGGCGTGTAGTAGAGCCATAACATTTTGGTTGCATCTTGTACCGCATTATAAATGCATAAAAAAGTAGGAAGGAAGGAAAAAAGTTTCAGCCATAGTTAATTAAAACCAGGAGATACTTTCTGATCCATGTACACAAGGCTATGGAGGAAAGCCAGATCTCACTGCAAACCTTATGTGAAACCATCCAAAAGATTAAGACTGATATTCTGACTCAAATTTGAATCCCTTCATAACACTTTGTGCAATATTGAGTGTTCATTAAATACTTTGGGAGAACAAGTTTCCAAGTTTGAGCAAAGTCATCTGAAACAAATGGCGTTTGTTTTCAGTAATGCTATCAGTGACTGTTCCTCTATGGTTTGATCATTTTTGTAATGATAGTGTCTATCCTAAGGTAACTCTTTTCTTTTTCTGTTATTGAGTAGATTGGCTTATTTTTGCTCTTGCATTGTTGTATTATGTGTTGTTCGTTGTGTTTTGTATTGTTTTGTTTTCTGTTCGTTCTTGTGAGTGTTTGTTTCGGGACCTCAAGGGGTTTATTCTGATATAATAAACTGACAAAAATTTCAGTCAAAGGCATATAACTCAAAGCTCTTAGTAAGAAGTAGGACGAGAACAAATTTTGGAAACTATCTTAAGTCCCTCATCAATTATGCAGGAGGTAGGCTGGATTCCACCAGGCACTGTATCTAATGTCCTGAGGTTGTGTTTGAATAAACAGAGTGCCATACATACCATTAAAGAGAAAAGGTATTCTGCACAGGTGAGAATATATTTTCCTCCCCTGTGGATAAGAATCAGTTGCCTGAGAAAGTAGGTCGGAGAGGATTCAGGGGATTCATCTTTAGTACTGCCTTCTGGCTCCCTTTGCTTAATTCACAAAGGAAAGTCAGAATCTGACATTGTTTGGATTAATAGACCCTCTAATGGGATTGACTCTTGACCTTTCAGTAACCTTGTCGGCACACATGGCTGCGTACATTTACTTCGCCCCCTGCCTTCGCTTCTGGCTTGTTTCCTGAACAGTCTAACCATGATATACAGTAAGACTGTAAATAATTGGACTAATGCTGTGTCTTAATTCAGATACTTCAAGTGTTGGCTTTTGACAGGGCAGTGTTGTCTCAAATTGAACACGCTGTTGTGCTGGAAATGATGATAGCAACATTTGACCCCTTCTTCTTCTTTTAATGGCAAAGTGCAACCGGACGGAGCATTACCCATGGGCAGGCATGACACAATGGGCCCTTGGGCACAGATATGCACCAGGCCCCACCATCTGTTTTACATAAGAGCAAGACACACAGACTTTGTGGTGATTTTGCCATTTTGGTTTTTGCTACACATCTTTTTGAGTTTTGTGTCTCTTTGAGGTCACTTTGTGTCTCCTTGTGGTTGTTTAATGCCTCCTTGTAGTAGTTTTGTGTCTCTTTGAGGTCACTTTGTGTCTCCTTGTGGTTGTTTTGTGCCTCCTTGTAGTAGTTTTGTGTCTCTTTGAGGTCACTTTGTGTCTCCTTGTGGTTGTTTTATGCCTCCTTGTAGTAGTTTTGTGTCTCTTTGAGGTCACTTTGTGTCTCCTTGTGGTTGTTTTAATTCTCTTTATAGTAGGTTTGTGTCTGTTTAAGGGGACATTGTGTCTCCTTGTGGTTGTTTTGTGTAGCTTTTTAGTCATTTTGTGTCTCTTAAGATTGTTTTGGTCTCTTTGTGTCTTTTTGTGGTCATATTGGATCTCTTCCTGCATAGTATATGTGAATGTGAGTGACATTTTACTGGTGAAGGCTGGAGGGGCCCATAACACTTAAGGCCCCTGGGCCTGTGCCCAATAGGCCCACTCAGTTATCCGTCCATGGCATTACTATCAAAATTTAACCGCAAATGACATCAGCAAAAATATTTCCCAATTTGCTTGTTCACCAGAGTAATTGCAACCGTTGCAGCTTCCTTTGCTGCCATTTTCACAGGTTTGCTGGTCCCTCGGTTACATAGCCAGAATTGTGACCATTGAGGGTGAGAAGTAACCATTATTTCATACTCAACTTTTTGAATGTCATAAGTACACCATCCGGTTATTGTACTGCATTTTGCCATACTTGTCAGTGTTGATGCATTTATGTGCTCAAGAAAGCAGGTGTAAGTAGAACGTGGTTTGAGAAAAAGTGATAATTTGAGGAGAATGGCAGGCTTGTTTCATTTCAGACTTTTATATTGTTTGAAATTACTAACTTGAGAACAGCAGGGAAAAAATATTCTCTGCCCTTGCAAACTTTTGTAATGAACTTCAGATCAGTGCACAATCTCTGCCGGCTCAGACTCCCCCATGTGCTAATGGGTCCATGATGGCTAAAACAACCACTGTGCAGCACAGGTCACTAATGCCTGATCTATATGGAAAGGCTTTCAGGTTGACTATTAACGAGGCAGGTCAATCCATACTGTATCTGATTAGAGAAGGTTCCTATTCTGGGGGACATTTTGTAAGTGTGAGAGAAATGTAGTAACTAATTTGATAATCGCTTAGAAATTTCAGTATATATTAATAGTAATATTCTCTGGTTCCAGCTTCTCAGATGTGATGTTTTTCTATGTCATATATAGTATGAAAATAAAATAAACAAAACATCCAATATGAATAGGTCACCTTGAGCTTTGGGAAACATTTTTCTTTATTTTCCGACATTGTATAAAGGAAATTATTAATTGCTTAATTAAGAATGTAGTCTACAGATTCATCAACCATGAAAATAGTAAAATCTTTTGTTGTTATCTGCTCCTGTTATAACAATACATGGATATTACCATTGTGACATCGGTAGGTTTCTGGTTGTAATTAGGTAGCACTGAATGCAGATAAGCAGAAAACACTCAACTGAATGTCTTTAGATTAAAAACTGCAGATTCTGAAGTTCTCCTGGGATCATTATAGGATGTTTATTCATACAGGTTGTTTTGTATTAAAACTTATACTTGGATGTTTTTAACACCCAGCCTAATGTCTTGCATTTTGTAGTTTTTACATGGAGTTATTTTTTTTTTTTAAATGTAACCCCACCAGCAAGGAATCAAGAGAGTTGGACGTTTTTTTTCTGAGCCACTTTGTCCATTCATTTTGATTAATAAGTAAAGGCTTACTTGTGCGTGGGTTTAGGGAGAACCAAAACATATATGACTTTGGAACAAGCATGATAAGCACCCATACACAAAGTAAATCTTGTGCTTCTCCAAGCTATTAACTTCACATATTACTGCACACTCTGGGACATGGTTTTAGTCAAACATCTCTGAGTTAGCACTGATGACGTTGCTCACAGTCTAAAATACCCTGTAGAGCAGTCCTGTCATGTTTGGTCCATCACACACAGTCGACCCACAGCAGATTAGTGTGTGAGCCAATCAATAAAAAGGTCAACCTCTGACACTTGTACAGTATTGACCACTGCACTGCGAGGCTAAACAGCCATTCATTTGTGGGATTATCCCATTCCCTTGCTGGCAGATGATGGATTGAACACTTGGAGTCGGATTGTGTCCCTGCGGAGCCTCGTCTCCCATGATGCTCGCTGCCTGACTAATTGAAAGCGGCTTGCGCTGAATGTATTCTCTGAGTCAGCTGTGACTCTGAGGGGTGAAGACGATTAAGATCTCCTTCTGTCTCTTTTTCTGTCTCTTTTCAGTCTCTCTCTCTCTCTCACTCACACACACACACACACACACACACACACACACACACACATGCATACACACAGACACACACACCTTAGTATTTACATTATCAGATTAGCTGATTATAGTAACACCACTCTGGGATATTTTTTATTTACTTAAGAGGCTTGTAGGGACACCGGAGAGGCTCCATAATTGACGGACCACCAGTGAGCTTTTTTCCTATCACAGTTATAATTATGGAATGCATTATAGTTTAATAGAAGGAGGGGAAGGAGAGCCAACTGTCACATCTATTGGTTAATGCATTTCTTCTTAAACAAAGCCAAAATGTAGCAGCCTTTTTTT